AACTCAGTCGGATCTTCGATCTAACTTTTTCGAGCCCATCCATTATCCACTTATTTGGTGTTTGGTATCAACTATGCGCACACACACACCCACACTTATGGTTATGGATGCGATTCCTCTGCTATTGCTATATCCATGTCATGCCCATATATAATGAATGCCACATGAGCAAAATTAATTTCACATACACACATGTTTCATGGCCAAATTATATCATATGCATATAATTCCCAACATTATCACAATGTTAATATATCAATGAACATATATCAACATTTCCTTTCCAGCATCAATTCACAAGCATGTTATCACATAACATATGCTAATAACACACTTAATTCCCAAGGCACAAAATGAACACATAACATGCCCACATAATACCAAATTTCATGAATCACATTGAGTCGAATTCACTTACTCAATTCAAGGTAGAATTTTATCTACCCAATTCCAATACCCATTTCATTTAAATTCATCATAATAGGCAAGTGATATAGCATCCCACCAACATACCCAGTTCATATAAACAACCTAGGTTGTAAATAAACCTAAGTAGGAGGGAACCCTACCTCTTGAAGTGTAAAATCACGTTGGGAAGCCTCAAAAACTCAAGACAAGCTTGAATCTTCATTTCCCCCAAAATCCCGTCTTTGAATTCTCATGACGCGAGGAACAACTTTCCTTCTTGGCCCGAGTGGATCCGAGCACCCAAGATCCGTAGATCGTAGAGAGAAGGTAGATAACCCTCACTTTTTCCTCTCTTCTTCTATCGGGTAACGACTAGACAATTGGGGAAGAAAATCTGATTTTCTTCCCCTTTTTATAGTCCCCCAATGCTTGGCCCACAATTTGCCACACATCCTCTTCTTCTCGGTTCCATTTTCACCCCGAAACAATTAAATTTCGTCCTGATTCAAGTTCAAAATATTTTTATTTCAATTTACCTTAAATTAATTTCCAAATTTTGAAATTTTATTAAAAATTTTATTTTTGAATCACCTGAGACTCGACCGCCTCATAAAATGCGAAAAATTTGACTATCTCAGAATTTGATAAAATTTGACATGGTAACTAGATTTTGTGAGACGAATTCAACAGTAAAGTCTGTTTCGTCATCTGAGTTCTAGAAAAAATCAGGTTTACAACCCTTACCGTAGTGACAAATTACCATTTTACCCTTTTCATAAAAAGTTTAAATTTACCCGGATTTTACAATTTCAAACCCCATAATAGCGGACACCCTACTCCACACAACTTGAGCAAAAGAACAATTGATAAACACATGAGAAGCACTTTTCTCATTCTTGTAGCATAAATTACACCTACACTCTGCACCCTAACATCAATAGTCAAAGCATCTCTGAAATTCTTCCAGACACATAGCTGAGCACTAGGGAAAATTTTCTAATCCCATATACCTTTAGTTATTAAACTAGGAGCACCTCTCCTCCTAATCTGTTCCCATGCTGATTTGACATAAAAATTCCCTGAATTAGTATGCCTTCATACTCTTTTATCACCTTTTTTTGATAAAATCACCCCAGCACTCAAGATCTCATCCTGCAACTGTTCATTGAGCCAATCAGATACCCTATCAAACTGCCACCCATTTGTACTCCACAAATCACAAACCTTGGGAAAGTCCACAAGAATACCTTCAATTCTATGAATTAAAGTCCCAACTTCCATCCAAGAATCACACCAGAAGTCAACATTCTAACCATTACCAATGATCAACATAGAATTGTTCAACACAAAATCAAACCAAGGTCTCAGGCTCTTAAAACTCAGACTTGCCCCATGATTTCCACATCTCATCATATGCTTTCCTTTAAGAAATTTTCCCCTGAACACCTTAGCCCATAAAGAAAAACCATTTAGAATACCCCAGACCTACTTAACTTAATTCTAAAAAGCAGACTGTATTTCATCAAAACCTCTAACTGCTAATCCCCCTTCATAATTAGGTTTAGAAATATTCTCTAATGAGACCCAATGTCTCCTTCTAGCATCCATCTTACTGGACCAAATGAATCCAGTAATTAAAGCATTCAACTTTTTCACCAGTCCCTAGGGAACATTCATACAGGCTAGCATATGCACAGGAATAGCATTTAAAACTGATTTAACCAATAGAACTCTACACATTCTAGATAGCATTTTAGCATACTAGCCTTCAATCTTTCTCCTAAAACTCTACATCACCTCTTCAAAATAACAAATCCTGACCCTACCTCTAATAATGGGGCACCCCAGATAAGTGAAAGGACAATTTTTGACAGGAATTCCTATGAAGGAGGACAACATATTCCTTCTTGCCACAGGGATTCTCTTAGAACAGTACATAGCACTTTTCAATCTATGCACCTTCTGTCCAGAACATGTTTCATACAACCCAATAAACTTCAAAACATTCAACATAGACTTCTTTTTACCTCTCAAAAACACCAAAGTGTCATTAGACCATAATTTGAAATTTTTAGTTTGTAAGGGGTGAGCACAAAGCTCTGTAGCAACATTCTCCCAGACTCGTACAAGGTTTAGAATGTAGGTAAAAACAAGTTGGTCTCATTTTGTAAATATCATATATTAATTTTTGAAAAAAAAAAGGAACATTTCAATAGATCGCAAGTTTACACAATAGCAATAATTTAAAGCATAAGTAAAACCAATATACGACTAATAATTCATTCCACCATAAACCGTTTCTTCCAAGTTCTTGCAGAATCCTATACTTCCCAAAATTCTTGTAGAAATTATTTTTGGTACAATGAACAATAAGCATAACCGTTCAATTGTGTCATCCATAATCTCAAGTATGTTGGTTGCTTCCTATGAATCTACACCACGACTCTACCTCGTTCATCCAATTATAATCACACAAACTAATTTAAGAATGGCGTATACTATCTCCCATGGCATTGACGAATCCTTCCCAGGAAAGGTATATCATCTCTCAGCCTCGAACTTACGTAAACAATAATGGTTGTTCTCACAAACAATAAACCACTACAAGTGTTGAGAAACTATCTCACCCCCACTGGGATAGACTAACTTCTAACATTCTACGGCAGTACTCGAATGCAATTTAAGTCCATCACAACAACTATACAAGAGATGCAATTCCAACCAAATTCTCAAACCATAAGTAGATCATAAATCCCCAAATTTCATAATTTGTAATACAAGAGAACAATTTAAGAAAATAAACAAGAGATCATTGCAAATACCATTTTATTACTCAACACAAACACTAGGGTTTCGAGATCAAGAATAAATAAAGAATCAAGAGAAAATTTTCATTTATCTTGAAATCTAGGGTTTTATGACAAGAAAAGAAATCTCATGGTTATATAACCATAGCTTTGTTTAAAACATGGTAATAATTGCAAAAATCTCAAGGAATCATGGTTTAATAGCGTGTACATATGATTAAGAGTCAAAAGAATACATATAAATAAGCCCTAACCTTAATGTAAGAGAATAGGAAGAAAACCCCTACCTTGATGTTCTTGAAAAAATTAGGTTTTGATCTTCTTGAAGTTGAAATTCCCTTTGATATTATGTTTTTCTCTTCCTTTACTCCTCTCTAAGGTCTCCTAGGGTTTTGGGTGTTAAAATGGGGCTTTAAGGGGTTGCCCTTAAGTATTTATAGTAAAAGGAAAGCCGGCTATTCGCGACTTAAAAATTCAGATTTTTTGAAGACCTTCCGGCAAGTTGTTCATCGATCTTCCGGAACATTTGCCTATTCGACAAACCTTTTCATTAACCTTCCGAAAGGTTTGTCTTACTGGACAACCTTTTTCATCAACATTCCGGAAGATTGTGCATTGACCTTCCGGAAGGTTTTGTCTACTGGACAACCATTTTCCTTTACCTTCCGAAAGGTTTATCCTACTGGATAAGCCTTTATCTTAACCTTCCGGGAGGTTTTTCAACGACTTTCCGGAAGGTTTTGCCTGTTTTTCTACAAATCACTCCCTCTTGATTTTCAATCCATTCTAAACCTTTCCAATTCCAACCCAAACTTATATAATATACTTTTATACATTAAACCAAGTTGGTACAAGTTCTATTACAACAATTCATATATTTGCAAGCTAAAATAACTTTTAACTATTATTTCCTCAAATTTTCCATATTATCATTTTAAAAGAAATAATAACTTACTATATAAACCTACATACATGTATAAAGATAAAATTGTGGGGTTTACAGTCCCTACAACTTAAGTTACAACCATCAATCATCTACAAAAATATGACACCTGGCTCCTAATGCTTAAGGTTCTTCGGAGAGGAACAATAGTCACTTTCAACAACAATAGGGGCACTGGGGAACTATGGAAAGTCATTCTAATTGATGATGAGGTTAGATGTATAATCAAATGCTACTTTTTTACTTATATGCATCACAATATAAATGTTATATGATTATAAATCTTTATTTTTTCCATGAAACTAAATGCAAGGATTAAGAATTCAAGCTCTAATATTTATTGATGTGATTGCAAAGTTTAAAGACCTGTTTAACAAAGATAAGACGTATCTCATTTCCAATGGAGTAGTGAAGCCAACAAATCAAAATTCAACAATGCACAGAAGGATATTGAATCGTCACTCACAATCAATATCGATGTGCAAGAAGCCAAAACTGAAATACTCCCCCATATACAGGCTTATAACTTCATAAACTTTAAAGATATACTCACACATAGAGATGAGGCCATTGCATATGGTATGTAACCTTGAACAACATAACAAACAACATGCATATTGCAATTTTCAACATGATACAAGTCTCAAAATCCAAATTTGAATGCAAACATCATAGGATTCGTGGTGGAAATCAAGCCAATAGTTAACATCAACAAAAGTGAAGGACCATCGTCTAAGATGCGACAAGTTTTCATCAAGAATACTGAGTAATGACTTCAAATACAACAATCGTCTTACACAATACAACCTAAATATTGCCTGATTTGCACTTTTTAGTGATCGGATTAATATTATACACCCAAGTATAAGTGGTTGAATTGTAGTTTTCTCAGTTTTAAGTTCAAGTATCGATCCCACGAAGAGTTTTAATAATTTGGAAACGAAATAAAATAATTAAGTTGCTAATTTGAATAAGACAGCATGTGATAGCTTTTGATGTGAGGTTAAATTGATAACTAGTTTAAGTAAACATTTATGTGCAGATGGAGTAAGACAAGAATAAAAAGTATCATTCAGTTCAAGGATCCTATATGTGTTATATTGGTTAAATACTGGAAATGCTACCTTACCGCAATTAACTTTCATGTTATTGGCAAGTCAACTAGTAGGTCTGATGTATATAAATCATCACACAGCAACTTCTTAGGCTAGCTGGTGGTATCCATGACAATTGATTAATCCAAGCAAACCAGAATAACAAGTCATTCATGAGAAATACTTGAATTATTCATTTGTCTTCATAATAATAGGTGTGTACATAAGAAACCATAATACAGCCACTTCTTAGGTCAACTGATGGTATTATTTATAACACAACAACTTCTTAGGTTAGCTGGTTATAGATATGTCAATTGACTAATCCAAACAAACCAGAAGGTCAAGTCATTCATGAGAAATACTTGAATTATTCATTTGACTCTATCTGTGATATATATATACCAGTTAAACATCCTCAGCATTCTGGTGGAGAATAAATTATACCGATAGGAATGCCGTGGTTGTTAGACTGATAATATTATTATTTATACCAATTAAAAGATCTGAGTAATCCAGAAGGACAAGTCATTCATAAGGATCATTTAGGTTTTGTACCATGCATCAGTTAACATCTTCAGCGTTTCGGTGGAGGACAAACTATACCGATAGGAATATCGTGGTTGTTTTACCAGCAGGTTGATGATGCGCTGATGACATACTTCCAAGCTCAGCATCAAAAGTACATACATTACTGTATCATGTATGAAGCATATAATACATAAATTTATAAATATATAAAACATCAGCATTTTTAGAATTTAACCAGTATTATACATATGTTTACCTCTCACTGGAGTATATACGGAACTACTCACGCCCCATTACTACAGACAAGCAAGGAGTGTAAACAGTTTTCATTATAACTAAAATTAAAATGCATAATCTAAAATGTCTTTCACAAGGAACAACTGAAACACAATCACCTTTATTATTAGTTATGACAAAAAGGTGACGGCAGTTCAATTATCTGAATAGAAAGATACAACAGAAATGTAAAAGTACAAAGTTTGGACTGAAGTGCATCACAGACCGGATCATTTTTACCTCTTTTCTCTCTTGGTTTTCTCTCTGGAGCTCTCTTGGTTTTCTCTTGGTTCCGACCTATGAAGAATGAAGAGGAGATGCCTATTTATAAAAGAAGAAGAAGCAAGAGCTGGCAAAATAAAGATAGCTGTCAAGAGTGACCATCCGGACGGTGAAGCTTTTCTGGAATTTCCCACTTGTTTTGTATGCTGACTCCTCTTGCGTTGAAATTGTCCTTTGGTCTTTGTTCTTTTATGCTTTTATACATTGCTCCTTATATTGTGTAGAAATTTTGCATTAAACCTTAAACTTTTTAAACATAACACGCATCAAACCCTAATTACACACAAACCCTAATTGACTTTAATTACTAGTTTTTAGTTATTTTATCACACTAATTCGACTTTATTAACTACTTGTATTTATATACTACTTAAGGTTAATTATTGCCCACCTAATAAGTTTCTAACCATTCTATGACTACAGATTGGAGTCTGTACGGTTGACTATATGGGGGTGATCTAGTAGACAATGAAGTACAGTTACTTGCTGAGTTGCTTCCAGAAAAACCAGTAGTTTCAATATCTACTGCAAAAGGGTCCTCATACAAAGGTATTAAACAATAATTTATCAATTAGTGAAGCATTCAAAAACTTTCCGAATTATTCTTATTACATTGCAGGTGAATTTCAACTCACGACAACATTTGTTACGACAATTGAAATAAATCCAAAGTTAGAGAAGACATACCAATGCGATAATGGTATACAATGAGAATGCTTGATATCTGTATAAAATTGTAAAATTACTATTAACCAAGACCAAAAAAAAAAGAGCTCTCACATAATGAAAAAAAAAAAGAAATGTAGGTTAACTTCTTTTCTTGAAAAAAGGAATGCAAAGCAATTATTAGCTCCACCGTAAAGAAACCGTGATGCAGAAAATGTCACAATTGTTGACATCATGAATGCTACACCATCCACAGTGATGGTATGAGTTCAATACATATTAGCAATTATAGTTCTCAACAACATTGATAAAATTACCTTGACTATCTATTTATTTAAAATTTTAGAAACCTTTCTGCTTTTTGAGTGCAATGAATCTGGAGATTGAGAATAAAGATGAACCATGGTATGACCAGCAAACAATGTCAGAGTAGAGTTTTCAATACTAGACAAGGACCAGAATGAAAGAAGTGCAAGAAAAACAATGTCGAACACACTCCGAGGTAAATAACTAAAATTATTCCCCATTGGTCATTACAATGTACAATTTCATTATGGAATACCTACTTTCAATCAAGTAAATTATAACTTATGTGGACAATCCACATATCACAGATATATAGTAAAGCCCATTGTGTCGGATGGAGACCAAAGCGCTCGGATAACTTTGTTCGATGCAACAAAAACTTTGGTAGGATGTACAATTTCGGAGTTTATTGAATCAAAAACACATGTACAAAATATTTTTAAAAAACAAACCGATACAAAAAATGGCAACTACTAACTAAAATTACATATACATCAGAACAACATGCACTGCAAGTTCTACAGAAAGCTAATTTTGTGCAATGGAAGATACTACAAATTTTTAATAAGGATGCGCAAAATCAATGAAGATGGTCGATCATAAGGACACTTTGTGGCACAAGAAGTGGAGAAAACAGAAGATCCAAAAACAAGTAAAGAATAAACAAGGAAAAAGGCAAAAAAAATAGAAAGACTATTGCCCTTAAGAATGGCAAGCTGGAAAAAGATGGCCACAACAGAAAACAGGATATATCTTTCTCCCTTTGATTTAAATGCATTTTTAAAAACATTGTGTTTTCTTGGTGAACAACATATAATGGTTTTGATGACACTTTATATTATGTTGGTTTTTACATGAACATTAGACTCTATAGATAAGGGTTTTGAAAACACTTTATATTATGTTGGTTTCTTTGATTTAAATGCATTAAACTTATCATGTTGTGCATGCGCTACAAAATATTCTGCAAACTTCAGTGTAGCACACTGGATTTTTTTACTGTATAATAATGGTTTCCCATTTCCTTCTCATAATGATTCCCTGTTTTGGTAGCTATTAGTAGTTTATAGCAAAAAGATTTTATCCCTGTGTATTTGAGGTGCTTTGTCGAGTCCAACACCTTGCATGACGAAGGAACTGTGGAGTTGTGGAACTTATCCAACAAATTCATTTTTCCAGACAATGAAATTGGTAACAACAGACCGCTTGATTCTGTTCAAGAGCTGAAACAGCTCAACAATGTTGTCGTCATTTCTACCTTAACTAGAGTTCGCACAAGAACAACTTTCAACAATTAGGTTTATATTCAAAGTTATTGTAATCAAAACATGATGAACAAAGAGAACATGACAAACATATATGGATGTGTTAATATATATTGCTATGCTTACAGGGGTGGAGCGGATACGTAGATGAGAAAGACAAGCTTTGAAAAAGGAATAACTGGTCAATACAATCGTCAAAACCTTGGAGCATTATTTTATCCTGTGTGTGTATATATGTAATTTCATCTCTCTTTGGCTTTCATTTTATTTAAGCTTGTGCTTTCTTTTTGGCTGGTATTCCTAATTATGGATGAAGTCAATGATTTTAGGTAGAAGGAGGAATGTCCCAGCAGTTCAATCAAATCAAACAGTGGCTTCACGAACTGGACCAAATCAAAAGTAATTTCATTGTCTAAGCTGCTTCAACATGTAAATGTATGGAAGAATTTTGTGTCTTGAATCCAATTCTTGCTATAATTTTTCAGATAAGCCACTTGAAATCACTTACAACTACTGGGATGAGGCAAGTCATAGGCGAATGATCTAGGTAAATGGCCATATTTGTGGTATCTTGTGCTACAGGTCCTGAATTTAAGCTAACAAGCATTGTGGAATGCTTGCACATTGACATATGAGGTTGTGCAACTGATTTCTTACTTCAAATGCTTGATTTTCTATGTTAAATTAGTTTTTTATCGTCCATAATTTAAAAGCATGGACACAAATATAACACGACACAACATTCTGAAACATGACTCCCATTTGTAGCTTTTTTTTTTATTTTGCATACCATGTACAAACGATATAATTCAATTTTTTGTTTCTGAACTATTAAAAACTTATGGTAATGAAAGAGTCAATTGTCAGTGGTGTACATATGAAAAGTTCGATATCCTATATACTTCATATATATTTGCACATTTCTAATCTACTGAGTCATGTTGCTCCATTATGGCTTGGGCACATTACATGTTGAAATATTGGATCTCAAAAACATTTACCAATTTTACTTACAGAAAGTCAGCTTGCTTATGGTGGTGTTGCTTATGTTCATGTTCCTTTTTTCTCTTGTCCAAATCATCAAGAGTAGGTGGGATTCCCTAAAACATGATTAAAGTCTTTAATAGCAGACTATTGTGTAGCTATTTAGTTCACTTTTGGTTCAACCTGTTATTAGGATTAGGAAACCAACTGTGGCTTATAATTCATGTCATACTCTGTGGCTATGTTTGGAATACATAACTAACACACATATTGCAGGATTCACCTCAGAGCAAGAGTCTGACATGAATATCAACAGAGTATAATGTATGCCGTGTAAGGGGCCTGATATAGGTGAGCTCTTTGATGGCCCAAAACGTAGTAGCAACTTTCTCTTTGTATACTCCTGAGCACCTCAAGAATGAAGGCTCATAATCGCAAAAATCTAAGACACATGCCAATATTTTGAGCAAGAGGAACATTGGGCATAATGATCCCCTCATGTTTTTTCCACCTACAATATTACACCACCAAAGCTAAAGTTTGAACAATACAAAAGATCATCAAACAAATTGCAACCTCTTAAAATATAGAGTGAACAAATAAAAATGAAAATTTTGCATTTATTAGATCAGCTAACAAATTATATAATATTGAGTCTGTGGAATGAACAATAAGAATAGGTGGCGAAGGCACAAGAACAGGTTGTTGTCAGTACTTTGCACCATCTCACTATAGAGGCTATTGATGCGGGAAAGAAGAAACTCTATGAGGCAAAGGTCTGGGTGAAGCTGTGGTTGAACTTCAAGGAATTGCAAGAATTCAAGTATGCTGGCGATGCCACCTCATTTACCCCTTCAGATGTTGGCGTTAAGAATGGTAGATAAGCATGAATTGATGTAGTTCCCTTCAAAAAAATTTCTAGAACTTATTACACATGACAGGCTATCCCCTCCTAAGAAACTACACTAACATTCTAGCTTAAATCATCGGATGTTTCATGAAGTATCAAGTGGTGGGTAATGGCGTAGTGCTATGGTTCTGCCCCCCTCCTCCTTGTTTCTTTCCTACAGGCTCCTTGTGCTTTTGATTTTTAACCAATCTGAAGAAGCAGACCAAGATTATCACATGGAAAAATAATTAGAATGAAAGCATAGAAGAGTAGTTATGCATCATGTTTTATGCTAAATGGTTTCTATGATTGTTTAGGGGGTTTTCAGCTGTGGCATTCATGTCAAGTAGATGTTTTGATAAGTTTAGCATGTTATCTATTCAATTGAAAGTTGGAAGCAAAGTTGCGGCCTTTTAATATTTGACTTGTTTTCATTTCTGCAGCTTTTCTTATCTTGTTTTCTTTTTAGCTTGAAGAAATAGATAAATGCGCCAAATATTTTTCTCTATCTTTTAAAGCTTCTAATCATCTTATATAAACTATTGATGTGGCAATCACAGAGGCGAACAATTGAAGAGAGAAAAAAGAAAAAGGAAGAAGCAGAAAGAAGAGCCTAAGAGTTGAGAGACAACATATATTCAAAGTTACTGTAATCAATCATTTTTTCATATGTCAACAGTAAAGTGATATGTGACCTATATCTCATTCCATGTTTACAAACCTTGAGTTTGACGATATGTTGTCTGGTAACTCCTCCTGTGTTGTTCAATAGGAATCTTTTACTTTTTGTTGATTACATTCACAAAATGGATATAGCCCTTGACTAAAATGAATGCCAAAACTCCTGCTCACCTTCACTTGTGTATGTTGGCAATTTGGTTAGGAAAAATTAGTTCACATCCTTAGTATACAATATTTCATTCTTAAAATGATTCACGTGCAACGCGCGTGGAAATCAACTAGTCTATATTAAAGGGTAATGTCTAATCTATGTTCTATTGTTATATATATAGTTACAAGATTCGATTCTACAAATATATGTATATATTTGATTTTTTTTGTATGCAATAATATAATTAACTTATAATATAATTCAATGTGCAAACCCTTGAGAAGAATAATCTTACATGAAGCTTTTTTCCTGGCAAGTAACTTGCAATGAAACTTCATTATAAACAAAAGAGTAAATGTCTATCAAATAATGACAGATTAGGTACTAAAGTGGTAGAATGGATCAATATTTATGTTTAATAAAAAATAAAGTATTAACTCTCCAAAACCTAACTTATTATTTAATTTAATTACTCATGCAGTTCATAACATTTTAAGTCGTATCTATCCTATGTATTTTGAAAAATTCTAACGGCATTGACTGCTAACATCATTATGTCAAGTTTTGACATCATAACGTCATAACTTGACACAGTTCATTGCATTTTGAGGGATATTGTTTCTAATGAATTCTGACAACTTTGAGATGTTAGATTTAATTGCCGCACAAATACCAAGTTAGATTGTAAAGCTGTTAGGGTTTTAGAGAAGAGAAGAAGAGAGAAAGAGAAGAATATGAAAAGAGAGTAGTGTGTGCTAAGTTCCATAAATGCACTTTGCTTGTTTATCTATACTACTAATAAAAGACATCCAAATGAAAAAAATTTGCTCGACTAAAATAACTCTAATAAAATGACTAATCCCCATACTTATTTTTAATAGGTGATTTTTAATTCCTTAAATGAAAATTAAAATAAAATGATTTTTATTTTTAATAGATCAATTCAGTAAGTGTAGATAACAAGATTAACTTGATTGCTCTAATTAATTTCAATTCATATTTCTTATTTGTTTTCCTATCTGTAACTCCATCTTTCTTTGTTTCCATCTATCTCACTAACACACACTCTTCCATTCTTGATGATTGGATGCATCTTTACTAAAATCATAAATAAACTCATTAGATAAGTTTTTGACGTGATTTCAGATTTGAGATGTTTAATACCACACAAAAACTCAATATAAAGAAGTGCGATAATTATGCACTTGGCCTAAAAATGAGATGTTCCCCCTTTATTTTTCAGTTCTCGCTACTCCGGTATCATCTTGCTGCGTTACTCCAGAGACAAACTACTTGCCCAAGTAGTCTAGAGAAATAACTCTTTGCACTTTCTCTTTGTGGTAGTAATTTCTCTGCCCAAGTAGTCCAGAGAAATAACTCTCTGCACTCTCTCTTCGTGGTAGTAAGTTCACTAGTTCTTCCTCATTCTATGCTTTATTTTGATGGGTTCACATATTATTTCCCAAAAAACATAAAAGCTATATTTTATATATCATACTTATGTACAAAAAACATATGTTGATTTTATCAAAATCATTCTCACGTTATTAAACTTTCCAATAAAAGATCATTCAATAAGTTTTTTTTCCAACATGATTGTAGTAAACATATTAGTTTTTAAACATGTTTCTTTGATGCACAAACCACCTCTTTCCGGTTTGGGTGGGAACATTTTTTTGGGTATGCATTAAAATCGATCTAAACCGTTGTTGTGTTATGCTAAGTTGGGGGGATTCAAAATAGGTTTTGTTTTATAAATATAGATTGTTTCACCCACATTTTCTTAAGCCATGGGCACTGTAATTCATTTAAAGAATTTATTTATTATTTTTATCGAGAATTTAAAGTTTTTGGGGGTTATCTGTTCCACTTCTTCACCTATTTCCCGAAGCTTCTTGTCTTTCGCAATTGCCTTTAAATCCAACTATGAATGAAGACTTTGTCATAGAACAAAAGGGGGAAATGAAAGATAGAGAGATATTGTACACTTTGCGAGGATAGCACAGTCGTGATCCTTTCTTGGGTCATAAATGAGACTGCTCTTTGCTACTCTTATGATGAAAAGGTTTCCAAGTTTCATTCGATTATTAGAAACATTATATATATATATATATATATATATATATATATATATATATATATATATATATATATATTTGATGTTAATTGTTCGTTGTTTTGGAATAATAATTATAAAGTTCCTTGTATTTTGTACTCAAATTTATTGTTGATATCTTTATTTGATGTAAATCTATTTTGTGAGGGTGCATGGAATTCAAATTTGGTTTCAGTTCTAGAACAACCACATATTATTGTCATTTGTCGAGATTGAACTAAAATTAAAAAATTGTGTAGGTATCTCTAAGTGAAACTTTGGGTGTTAATTGTGGGTTTTATGATCACAAATTTACTTAAAAATGAGGTTCACAGAAAATACATCGGTTGCATATATAACTTGATTCTTTGTTAATGGGATTCGGAATACCACTATGTTAGTATAGAAATGGTTTCAAAATAAATATTTTATTAAAAACAATGTTGACCGGTTTTTTTTTTTTTTTTGGAAAAGAATCGGTAATCTGCTTATTGAATTGGAAGGGCAAAAAAGGGCTTAGACTTCTCTGCCACCCTATGTGCAATTCATTTATGTAGAGGGTTGGCCTTCATCAATAACATGGTGAATAAGAAATGGTTCTGGGCTTGCGAAGACAGTGTTGTTAGGTGAATATTTGTGCATAAGACGCAGGTTGTGAGTAATTCCCATCATGAGATACCATCCAAGACAGTAATCTTTTTTTAACAAAATGATCCTCATAGGTGAAAAAGAATGCTATATACTGTGTGCTTATATAGGTCTCATGTTCTTTCCCTCTTGGCTATTTTCTCACCCTCCATGTTTTGGGTCAAGGTCTCACTTTGTCATCTCTTGCTTTGTACTCTTTTCTTACTCAAATATTTGTGCTTGATTATACGACTTTTGTGCTCATTTGTTCTCTACGTTTTGCGCATCAACTTGCCTTCATACTCTATTGTAGGGATTTATGCTTGAACTTGAATTTATAATATTGCCTTCTAGATTTTGGTTTATCTTTTTTATGAAGTATTTCAATGTATTCTCTGGATTGGAAGTTTTTCCTAGCCCTACTAATCTTATAGGTGAGTCCATTTTTTGTGAAATGCTTCTAATCTTAGAACTGTCTGATTTGGCATTTGTTTTCAAATCATATTGGACACGTTTGCACCAGTAGTTGGTCAACATTTTGCTTGTTTAATTTGTTGGTAGCATATCTATCAATAATATTGTCAAAGATACCTCATTCCATGTTGCGTTTCCATAATTTCCATAGCAAATAATATTAGCTTTTGTTTTTTGTGGACAATTTTAGATAATATAGCTAATACATTAAGCATAGGTACATGAGACTTCAATAAATTTTAGTTAAACCGATTTTGTGTCTGTCTCTCCCTTTAGGAGTAACCTTTTCTTTGGGAAAGGGTGGCGGCGGAGATTGGTGCGGCGGCGAGTTTTTGCTATTAAAGGCGGAAGTTGCGAAAGTTAAGACTTACTATTTATGTTTTTAATCAATCAATCATTATTCTCAAATTATATATGTGCCTGGTTATGAGAGTAATGTTATCCTGTTGAGAAACGATCTTGATTAAATTAGTTTATCAAATATTATTGTTTTCAATCCATCAATCATTATTCTCAAGTTCTATATGTGTTTGGTTATGAGAGTAATGTTATCTTGTTGAGAAATGATCTCGATTAAAATAGTTTATCAAATATTATTGTTTTTTAGTTAGTTTAAATATTATTCCGTGCCTATCATTTGCACATTATATACAACATAATATTCTTAATTTTCAATTTTTTTTTGCTCTAATTTTTTCACAATGGTTTGCTATAATGTTTTTGAGTTTCTCATAAAACCATCATTGATGCAGCGTAAAACATAAAAGGATGGAGTTGGTGGCTGATTTTCACTGTTTGCCAATCAAGAAGGGAAAAAAATCATTTGTTGATAATCGTTTTAAATTACTATTGAGGTTGTCCAATGTTTAGGGAGACAACATGTGTACTAGCAAAACGTTTCATGGATTTGGAGGGAATTTAGTGTTATGGATTTTGGATGAAATTTAGTATTATGGGTTATATAATACATGGGCGCAACAATTACTCAAGCTAAACTTTTGATAAATTTTACAATATATCAACAATGTCTGGGCACAATGTAGGGACTTTATTCATTTTGATTATTTTTTATATATTGCAAGACATACTGGTAATCTAAATTACTGAAGCGATGTTTTGCATAGTTGTAATTTTAATTGACATCCTTCTCGTTGGCCAATTTTAGCCAATGGATCTTAAGGGAGTGGACGGGAAGATTATTAAGAACTAAGCAGTCAAGCTCAGTTCGGATGGAGTAAGAGGAATGTAAAAAGTTTTGATAACCATCATAAAGATGTAGCAACTCTGAAGCAGAGGAATAATCCATAGAACAACACAATTTTGCAAGTTTGGCAGGTTTCTTTGCCTAAAACTAATATCAGTCTTTTAACATTTGGGTAAAGGTATTTTGAAACATGATAATCATTATATAAGTTAAATTTGTAGGGTTGCTACTTTGTGTGGAGAAGCTCATTGGGTATAATATTTCCTCTTATTGTAGACAACAACAGTTCAACATGTACTTAAATCAACATGTACTTAAAAAATTGGAAGAAAACTAAGCGCAGGCAACCATGAATTGCAATATTGTATATCAGGTCACTAAATTTCTATATATATAGTTAAGGACCACTTTTTCTATGAATGTATATTTGAATAATAATATATTTCACAATTTTTCTTTAAAATAGTTCACGTTCAATACACGTGTGCATCAGTACTAAAAAACTTTTAAACTAAAAATAACATATAACACAATAATTTTTTTTGAATTAAGTAATTTAAAATTAACATAAACAGGGAGAAAATAAGAGAGAAATATGGAAAAGAGACCAAGTGGTAGGTGTGTATTTGTGGGTTATTTGGTATTGAAAAGTGTGTTGATTCAATTGTTTGATATTGGAGGTCGCGTAGAAAAGAAGATATTTTTGAGTGATAAAATTTGTTTTTGAATAAATTTTGTACCACTGAATTAAATGTAAATTGAATTTAATTTGACCAGCGTTGTAATTTTATAAGTTAAGAATTCAATTTCTTAACTTTAATATTAAATAGATTTTCATTGATTTACAAAAGTAATTATTTAAACTGTTTGAGCGCATCGCACGATACATTGTTAGTATGCTAAAAAGTTAGTTTTTTTTTATCCCAAAATTTTGAAATGATTAAATTACATTTTATCATCACAAACTATTGCCCATGTTTCAATTTGTACTCTTAACTATAATTTTTTTTTATATTATATCATAAAGTATCAATTTTATTTCATATCTCTTCAATAGATATTGACAAATTTAAAAATCTATAACTTTCCGTCAAGTTCCTAGTACCATTTAGTTTTATATCTTTTGTAATCAAATGATTGTTGGGAAAAAAAAGAAAGTTGGTTAGGAAAAGAAAATTTAGAGTTTCAGAAGGGAAAAGTTATGAATATGTATTTTTTTTATTTTTGACCTATATATGTATAATAGACACTTGTTTATTGACAATACAAATTACCCACATGCTCATTTACCGTAAAAAAAGTGACATTTGTTATCAATTGGAATGATATGAAACAAAATTGATATTTTAGGGTATAATATAAGAATTTTTATAGTTAAGGGTATAAAGTGAAATAAATGTAATAATTCAAGGGGTAAAGTGTAATTTACCCATTTAGAAACTAAAAATTTGTATGTTAACTTCATTTAACGAAATAAGCCAACCAATCAAATGCCGTGGATTGCCACAGAAGCCTCCCTCCAATAGAGCACCAGACTTCACTTGCTCTTACATTGCTTTCTCCAGATAAAACGCGTCGCTGCCCATCGATTTCATTTCCCTTTCAATCTTCTTCCTCCAGCGCTTCGTCTTTGTGTCTCTAGCCAGCCTCGGTTCGTCTCCCTTTTGGTAAAGCTTTTATTGATGTTCTGTATCGGTTTTTGTTTGTCGGTTATCTTCTCTCGTTTGGCTATTTTCTGTTTTAGGGTTTTAGTATGGGATATGTAACTAGCGTTCTTCTGTTAAGCTACAACTATTGGGTATTTTGATATTGTTTTTTGAGGTATTTTTCACAGTATTTCCGTGTTTTGTTATTTGTCGCTTCTTCGTTGTGTGTTACTACTGGTTTTGCTTGGTGAGTTTTACCATATTGTTGGATTTTTGGGGGCTTTAAATGATCTTGTGATCTGCCCTGTACGTGATTGGTAATAGTTATCGTCTATGGGTCTGGTTTATTTGTACTAAATTTTCGGTATTTGGTTCATGAGGGTTCTGAGTCGTTCATTTAGTGAAGCTCGTTCTGTTGGAAAACAAGGGTTTTAGGGGTTGAGATGTTTTTGATTCTATGAATGTAGGTGTATCATCTATGCTTGGCTTATTTTGAATTACGATTTATTATATTTTGATGTCTTATTGAGTTCTTAGAGTTTGGTTTATTGCCATACGATGTTGATGACGTTGAAATATCAGGGTTTGTATTGCGCACCAGATGTCTTTTGACTGTCACAAGAAGCATCAGTGGTTTCTTTGGCGAGCTTTCTATTTCATGTACCGGGGTAGGTTGTGGTGTTCTCGCAGGGTTTTGTTTCGGCATTGGACTTGACAAGGACAGAAAAGGGTTTCAGTGAAAGGTTAATTCAGTTGTATACATACTTTTTTCTGCCATAGTTTATTTTCTGAGAATCCGATATTGTTGTGGGAAATTTTTGGTTAATTGCTAGTTAGCAAGACGAGATACGTTATCATTGGAATTATCAAGATTTTACTGTTTACACCGTGGGACATTCTCTTGGCATTCTCTCTATGGCAAGCATGTTGCTTCCTCCAGGCTTTCGCTTTCATCCTACTGATGTTGAGCTGGTTATGTACTACCTTAAAAGGAAGGTAATGGGAAAGAAGCTCCATTTTGAAGTCATCTCGGAGCTCAACATTAACAAATTCTTTCCATGGGAGCTCCCAGGTACAAATATTTGTTTATCGAGTTTTGTTTATGTAATATAGTCGACTCTGTTTTAAGTGTGATCTCCATGTACTATTATCATGCATGATAATGGTCGTACACTAATCCATTTCACCTATTCTTTGTGTACTTCATATTCAAATTTCCAAAATTGAATTTGTCCATTCATATAGTAAAACTAAAAACACTCTGTATATTAATTTGTTTATTAGTGGAAGTGTTTTTTTGGTTGGATATTGCGAAGCTTTCTTTCTTTTATTTTATCCATTATTTGGGTTGCTTCTGCTTTATGTGATTTTAACAGTGATGCATTCCTATTTTGTCCTTAAGATAAATCATGTCTGAGAAGTAAGGATCGCGAGTGGTACTTCTTTTGCCCTAGAGAGAGGAAGTATGCAAGTGGGTCGAGAATGAATCGTGCAACTGAAAATGGATATTGGAAAGCCACCGGACAAGATAAACAAGTTCTTTACAACGAGCAAACTGTGGGAAAGGTTAAAACTTTGATTTTTCACAAAGGACATGCTCCACGAGGAGAAAGAACAAATTGGGTTATACATGAATATAGACTTGAAGACAAAATACTGGCTGATGCAGCCATTGTTCAGGTATTTCTTTTCCATCTTTTACTGCTTAGGATTTGAAATATAATCATGATAAACTTCCCTTTTTATTTGTTTTTATTTATTTATGTTTTATCAAAATCTGAATCATTCGGCTATGCCGTTTGAAAATGTATGTTAACTCTTTATGTTTGTATTTAACTTTTGTAAGATTAAAAGGATTTAAATAATGAATATTTTGGCCTTATTGCTGGACCTGCTTTCTCCCCATTCTAATCTAGATATAAATGTCTGCCGGGAGAAATTTTCTGATTATTGTAGTTGACCATTAATCTTCTTGGTAGGATGCATATGTGCTCTGTAAAGTTTTCAAGAAGAATCGTCTGGGACCAAACAATGGTGCGCAATATGGAGCACCATTTAATGAGGAAGAATGGAATGATGATGAAGACATCAGTGCGGAATCTTTACTATCTGATGGATCTACCCTTTTGGTGCCTGATAAACAGAAGAATGCTGTGGTGACGAGCACAATTGTTCCTGGAAGTACATATAGCTGGTCATTATCCGAACCAGGTCCATCTTCAGCTGTGCCTTCTGCTACAAAGGTTCCGGTAGAGGTCCCAGATGATGATTATATTGATTCATGGTTGGCAATGTTCACAGAAGATAGTGTTCCTATTGAGAATGACAATAACGAAGTGAGTAACATGCTATTTGTTTTGGACCAGTTGAATTGAATGTTTAATTTTTTTTGGCTTTATCATTGTTCCTTGGAGTGGAATATTTTCTACCTTCTCCTTTCAGCTTATCGTGCAATGGGGAATGTGTTTAATGTAGATATGTTGGTTCTAAGGTGACAGAATGCTTAAAATGAATAGGTGGACTGGTTGGTATGGCTTACATTGGAAATTTCTATAAAGTGTGAAGCATTAAAACTTACAGATTGGTTATCATATTTTTGGGAATCATACCGTTAGATCCTTGGGAAAAGCTATTAAATCTGAAAGGTCCGCAATAATGGAATCTTCAATATGAAAGGCCCTGAAGTGTGTTTCCCACTTAACTATCATAAAAATTGCGCATTAAGACCGAAATAATCTTTCACTTGAATGAATCAAATGCTACAATAACTAAAATGACAAGTTTGCTACAGTAATATAGAAAAGGTGCCACCGGCATGAGATTTTAGAAGTGGCTGTTCTCCATCATCTCTCCGTCACCATCCAATCAACTGGAAGTGAACTGGTAAAGTTAACTGTTAAGCGTTGCAATTCATCTTAAAGTAAGACGGAGGCTGGGAGGGAAGGAAAATTATTTTTATGGTTTCATGGAGGTTTTATGGCATGTGGAAGATTGGATACGGGTGTGATTATGTTTTAGGGCCACTTGAATGAGAAAGCCAATCTTACTCGTAGTAATCTTTTTTCACACAATATTAGTTTACATACAAGTAGTTTAGATTTTGCAAAGGAAGAATTTGTTTCTTCAGTATATTGAAATAAGCAAGTAAAACTTGGGCTTTTCGGAGTAGAAAATTATTTTGGAGGAAGTTATTAGTTTTTTCCCTATATTTTGATGGACAATGTTACGATAGAGCACCAAGGGGGCACAACTAATTTACAATATTGAGACTATTATAGTTTGTTAAATCCTATGTTCCACAATGAATTAGCGGGGAAGTATGATTCTTGTTCGTCATAACGAGAATAAAATCCTAAGTACTTTTGTACGAACATGCTGATGAGCTTGGACTAGTCCAAGTTGGAATTGTTTTAGCTTCAGTTATTTAGTTGAGCCGCAGGCTGAATGCAAGTTCGGTGTCTCTGTCTATCACATGAGTCTCGATTAGCTTTTTGTCAAGTTGATCTAAGTTTTGGTGTATTGCCAAATTGTGTGAACGGCTAGCCTTGTCTATTTGACATTCAGAGGATGCCCATTAATTTTATTGAAGTTACTTGAATGGCATGTTTTCTTGTTCTTGGTTTAATTTATTTGTAATGACAACCTTAGAATCAATATAGTTAACATTATTTTAGGTAATCTAGTACGAATACAATGGAAGCATCAGAAACCCTAGTAATTGTCATTTGTGCTTCAATTGCATTCGTGCTTCAATTGTATTATTTGTTTAACAATTGTTAGTCTACTCCTACAGTGTAGTTGATGTACTATTTGTAGCTTTTACTTTTATTTGAACTGTTTGGGAGTGAAAACGATGCACAAACTGAGTGCAAAGCTCTGTATATATAGTAAAATAAGAGTGCAACTGACCAGAACACTCCTCTAGTCTTGGTAAGACATAAAAATCATAATAAGGACAAATAGATAGAAAAGCTAAACATCCTAATAATTAGGCTATAACTTCAACATTCCTCCTTAAGCTAGGCACAAAGATGTCAATTAAGTCAAGTTTGACAATAGAGTCTCGAGGTACTGAAGAATATGATATACCGCATTCAGATGAGACTGACATGACTTGCGTATGAACTGATTAACCCGACTGACAGCAAATGAAATGTTTGACTTAGTGTTGATTAGGTAGATAAGCCTACCTACCAATCTTTGATAAATAGTTGGATCTCTCAACTCCTCATCTTCAACGGTAAGTTTTAGGTTTGAAATTATAGGTGATGATTGTCGGTTTGTACCTCAGCATCCCAGTGCTTGAGAGAAGATCTAGAATGTACTGCCTTTGAGAGAAAACAATATTTCTGTTGTTACGGGCAACTTCAATCCCAAGAAAGTATCGTAGAAATCTAAGGTTCTTCACATTAAAGGCCTTTCCAAGGTCAATCTTGACTTGTGCAATCCTAGAAATGTCATCTCTAGTAATAATAATATTATCTACATATATCAAGAGAATGACACACTGCCCAGTAGTATCCATCGAATAAAGTATGTATGATCAGAATAACATCTGGTGAAGTCAAAATGTATAACCACACCACTAAACGGAGAGAACTAGACTCGTGGTGACTGTTTTGGTCCATTAATAGACTTACGTAGTCGACACACCTTGCCAGCATACTCCCCCTTATCATAAAAGGCTGGTGAGGCGTTCATATAAATAATCTCGTTCAGGTCACTGTGTGGAAATGCATTCTTCACATCCAACTGATCAAGAGGCCAAGATTACGAGGCTGCCAAAGAGATAATCAAATGAACCGTAGTCAACTTTGCCGTCGAGGTAATGATAGCTCCAAAATCGCAACTTGGAACCTGAGTAAAGTCCTTTGCCACAAGTCTGGCTTTGTGGTGATCAATAGTACTATTCGCAAGAAACTTCTGAGTGTAAGCCAACGACAGCCAATAGGCTTCATCTCTAAAGATAAAGAAACAAGATTCCATGTGTGGTTACGCTGAAGAGCGTCTATCTCTGTCTGCATAGCAAAAGCCCACTGAGGCTTTCACGTAGCCTCTGAAATGGAGCGAGGAACTGGTGTATATGATAATGTCATATTATAAACCCAAAATGTAAGAGATAACTCAACATAAAAAACATAACTAGAGATCGGATATAAAGCCCTAGTGGCCCAACCATAACGAACAATTGGCCGGTGGTCACAATGCGGATAACGATGCCTTGAATCATGATCCTTCACAAATAAAGTCTCATCAAATAAATCAACTGGCTTAAAGACCTCAACACCTACAGTCTCATCAGTGCTAACAACAAACAATATGTTCAACTAACGGAGAAATATTATCTTCATCGCTTGAAATAGCGGGGACATCAGCAGGGGGATGAGAGCAAAGGCGACGAACATAAACTTGCAGAGGAGAGATTGGGATATCATGTGTAAAGAGAAACTAGGATAGCATGTGTAATTGGCGACTCTGTGATGACAGTGATTAGTGGCTCCGGTGGTAAGGAAAAATCAAAGGGAGTATTGTCAGCTAGTGATGCAAACTCGGGCTAGAAGTAGAAAAATAAGGTACATGCTCAAGAAAGGTAATATTTTGACTATGATACATATGACGTTGGACTGGATCATAACACTGATAGACTTTAGATTGCTGATTGCAACCTACAAAGACAATGAATATTTGTATTATGAAGCTTATGACGAGTAGGAGACCGATCTTGAACAAAACATGTACAGTCAAAGACTCGCAGAGGGATTGGAAAAAGTGTTTGCTCAAGAAATAGGATCTATAAGGGAGGCATATGTTGAATAACGCGACTCAGTGTGTGATTAAATAGGAATGTAGAAGTCAGAACTATAAAATGTCGATAAGACTTAAGCACCCTCGTATAACGTACCATTCTTATGAGACTCTTTTTTATCTTTTAGCAATTCTATTTTGTTCAGAAGTATATGGGCAAGTGAGCTGTTGAAGGATACCTTGGGAAGAAAGGTGAGACACTAAGGCATCAGATATAGTATTCGTTGGCATTATTTGAACGAAGAGCTTGAATAATGACAGTAAATTGTGTCCTAATCATCTGTAGAAAATGAGTGATAACAGGAAGTACATTTGACTTCCTATGCAAAAGATATACTCATGTACAATAGGTATGGTTATCTATAAACGTCACATAATATCGGGCACTTGACAGAGCAATAATAGGTGAGGGAGAGTGTATTAGGTCAAATGGCCTAGGAGACTAATGCATGCGAGGAATATAACTGGTCCAAACATATTTAGATAGACACTTATAACACAATCAAGTCTACCATTACAACAAACATTACTCCAAGTAGGAAACATACATAAATATTTAAAATTTGTATGTCTAAAACGGTTGTCACAACTAAACAGTTTGACGAAAAATTATAACGATAAGTATTAGGTAAAATACTATCATACAAGTTAGGAACAGATAAAAATAAAGCAGGTGCAAGCGGCGGAGGAACTAGAGGTGGATTGCCTAGATAGTACAACCTATCTCTCGCATGTCCCTTGATACTAATCCTCATGGTACTTAGGTCCTGCAAATAACAAGAGTCAGATAAGAACAATACACAATGAAAATATCTAGCTAATTGATGTATAGATAATAGATTCATACTCAATTTTGGCGCATGAAAAATAGAATGTAATGTAAGGTTATTCGGAAGGTGGATTGTACCCCTATTAATAATAGGGGCATGTTTCTCATCTGTTAATTGGACCTCTGTGTGTAATTGTTAATCAAAAGTAGTGAAGTGATGAGTCTCATTTGTCATGTGAGCATTCGCACTCGAGTCAAACATCCAAAGAGGAGAAGGACCGGTGCTAGCATGGAAGGCACGAAATATACCTGTATTGGTCGCAGCAGATATAATCGTATTCGATCTGAAAGTGATAGCATCTATATCGCTCTGCGAAGGAGGAGGAGGAGGAGTAGTAGTAACAATAGATGGTTGTCCCTTATCAATAGTAGGACGACCTCGAGAAGCAAGATGAGATCATTTAAGCTCAAGATGGAGCTTCTAACAAGCAGCCCTGAGATGCTCTGGTCTGCCACAATAATCACATTAGCAAGAATCACCTTGTTTGCGTTGGTTTGGATCGCCTTGTCGATGTTGGTTTGGATGTTGTCCACCTTTGACTAGGGTCTTGAGCGAAATTATGCAGCAGCTGCAAAGGTCATCTGGTTGGCCCGAGGAGTCAAGGTTGTAACTAGAAGGGATGCAATACGAAAGCGATGCTCATATTGTGCAATCATAGAATAAACCTCATAGAGAGAAGGATGATTCAACATCAACAGTGTTTGGGAATGAGGTCCCTCAAATTCATCACGAAATCCCATAATGAATTTATGAATCCTATTCACCTACTCTTGATTATGTAGAAATGTCGCTCCCTCGGGCTCTATTCTCGAAATAGCAGCAAGAAAACATAGAATTTTATATTCAAGCCAGCGTTGACTTAAATAGCCATAGTAGTCTTGAACTGTCATATCTTCATCAAGCATATGAGAGCTCTTGAAAAAACTCATAAACACAAACTCCACGACCTAACTATGAATATATCTCTAATAATGTGTTCCATAACTTCAAAACAGAGCTATGAAACTGATGAATCTTGCAAACAAATGGCTCCATAGATCTAAATAATCATCCAAGAATAACACAGTTCTCAGAGAATTATGTAGAATATCCAGGGTTGTCATCAGCTAGCTTTGGGTGCGATTCGGTCAGCCAATCAAGCTTCCCAATACGCCCCAAAAAGAGTTGAAACAAATGTGACCACTCAACAAAGTTATGACGATCCAATAACTGTGTCGTAACTTTCTAAGAGACCATACCCGACATCATCAGCATTACAACTGTGCGAGTAGTTACTATATACTAGTCAAACATAAAGGTGGAAGGGGTAATCCCTGCAGAAGTGGCAGGTATCTTCTCAATGGAAGTACCAATAGTAAAGTTTTTAAGTCCTTCACCAATGGCTATAGCAACAATAGTAATGTAGTAACCGTGACAGAAATTACTCTAAAATAAATAGAGTTAAATAAGGGACAACAATATACCTCTAATCGAATAATAACAACAAAGAAGAGGTCCAAAAAGTTCCCAAATAACAGGTCATGGGGCCAAGAAATCCAAAAAATTATATATAAGCGATTGACTACATCAAAAGTAGATTAACAGAGGGGATCATCCCCTCTAAAAGTCCCTAGGGTGCTCCGACTGTAAGGAAAAGCGAAACCAGTGTCGTGAAGGAGGTGGCGTTGGTGGGAAGGGTTGGAGGTGCCGGTGGGAAGAGGTGGAGGCGCCAGTGGGGAAGGCTAGGGTTTGGCGGTTAGGGTTAGGGAAGGCTAGGGTTTGGCCGGCTTTGATACCAACTAGAATTGTTAGGAGTAAAAAAGATGCGAAAACTAAGTGCAGAGGGTTGTATATATAGCCAAATAAGAGTGCAACTGACCAAAACACCTCTTTGGTCTGTGTAAGACATAAAAGCCATAGTAAAGGCAAAACAGATAAAAAAAGCTAAACATCTTAATAACTAGGCTATAACTCTTAACACTTTTCTTAGACCGTGAACACTAGTGCTCCCATTTTACAACTCGTAGTAGTTGTAATTCTCTACATACTTCCAATTTTTAAATACATTAATGTGAATTTTTATTTCATTTGCATGTAGGAGCTTGATAAGGCCGATGGTGTAACTTGTTCGGGTAGAGATGATATATACAATGGCTTAGGGGACCTGAATGAAGGTGGATCCAATTTCTCTAGTATTTGGGAAGCTAGCCTTGTGCCTCTGGAAGATAATCCTGATTTTTTGGAGCTAATGGATCTTGATGTTCCATTAATTTCTTCTGAAGCTACTGGATCCAAACAAACATCAACTGACAACTTATGTGCACGCGACAACTATTGCAGTGATTTTGAACAATGTCACGGAGGCATTTTTCCAGATTCTATTCAGCATGTTTCTGGCCTGAGTCAACCGTCCATGTTACTCGAAGGATCTAACATGCAAGAGGGACTTTTTGATGTATTTCAGGTATGCCTCCACGTCAGGAAGTTGTTTTTTTCTTATTCTTTTCCTTCATAATTCTAATTTTAATTTTTTTTTGTATGTGTGAAAGGTGTTTATTGTCCTTTCCTATTTTTGGCTCATGTACTGATTTGAAGATGTCAAAATTCAGGAAAAGGCTAATGGGAATAATGCAAATCAGCGATACAATGATATGTCCAATGTGGATTTTGCTTCTTGCAGACCACCAGAGGGGAATAGTGATACTGCACAAAACCATGAAGGTAGATCTCATTTTTCCTGGTGACATTTCTGGTTTTTGGAACCCACATTCATGATCTATTTATTGTTCCAAGGTCAAGTCAATCGCAGAATACCTTTCAGAAATTGTTAACTTTGTGAAATTTGATAATTGTGATTGAAATGGAAGTCGCGGTCCGGTGATGTTTTGTAATCATCTGGTTTGGTGATGTTTTGTAATCATTTGGTTTGGTGGGGTTTTGTAATTGTCTGGTTTGGTGATGTGTTAGCATTCAAATACGATGACTAGTGATTGTTTATCTCTTATTTTTTTTCCTGTCAGTGATTTATTAGTCTTTCGCCATGTAGATTGTAGAATCTGATACGGTAGCATTACTCTCTTATTTGTCATCCGTGGCTGCTGCAGGTACTTGCTGCAGTCTTGAATGTTGTTAATATATTCTTTAGGACACTCCTCATTTTCTTTTCGGTGTTTGTTATATTTGTTACCAGGAGAGCAGCAAAGAAAACTTTACTCAAGGGTCCAACTGTTGTTGGAGTCTATGCATATTCCTCCTGCCTCAGCTGTAGAGCACCTTGCTCCTACAAATTCTTATGGTGGCTCCTCCATCCTTGTCAAGGCCGAGGTGACGCGTGGCGTTGTTGTGTGCACTGAGGACGCTTTGTCAATTAAGTTGGGGGAGTCTACTTGTGAGCACGGCTGTGGGTGCAACATGCCTAGGGCAGATTTGGGGAAGAAAAGGACTCATTGCAGAAGTGGGTTTGTTTTTTGTCTTTTCTTTAACGTTTATTTCGGTTACAATGTGGCTTTTCAGCATTCCACTTTTGACCAAACTGGGCAGGTACGCAGGGAATTCTATTTTGCTTTGAAGTAATAGCTAACTGGCATTTCTTCTTATTCTTGGCTTTAGTTATTGGAGTGTTATTATTTAATTATTTTGCTCATTAGTTTGATAATGTCAATGGCATTACCTCACTGAGTGTAACTGGGGAGCATTTGTTCTGCATGATGTTGATTGTTTTATCTGTTGTGATATGAGCTACCTTTTCGTGAATTCTTGAGTAGCAAGGGGGCTGTGTTATCTGTGTTCGTTGGGTACAAATACGCATGTACTTTTACATCTATGGGCATGGAGAACGACTGCAGTAAAGCTGCGTGAGAATCAAACCCCGTTTGGGCCCTTTCTTTTTGTGCATGTTTGTGTTTTTTCTTTTCTTTTATAATTTTTTTTTTGGGGTGGGGTGGTGTATGTTAGGGGCCTTCATTTGACTTTGGGACGTATTTATATTGCATTGCGTCAGTCACAAACTTCTTTGGTTTACGTGTGTTATCTTTCGATAAGGTAGTAGAGAAAATATTAGCTATGTAATTTTATATATTTGCGAGATGCTGCATTATGTACATACATTTATGTGATTGTGATCAACCACATACGTATCAAGTCAACTCTCATACGTGACCCAAGCTCATTTTAAAAAAATAATAATAGAAGTAGAAATTTTTTCTCTTTTTGTATTGATGTTTGAGTTCTTCTAATTTCCGGTCTTGGTATTTAATTGCAAACATTTGGCAATTAACCAGTCTTGCGTAATAGTACTACAGCATATCTTAACAGTATCGTTGATTCTGCAAACATTTGGCAATGAAAATAACAGTATCGTTGATTGCGTAGATACTACAGCATATCTTAAATCACATGTTAATTCTGCTATTCATTCAAGTAAGTGGCATAACACATGGGGAGAGTGATGGGTAAGTAATCAACATGAGCTCTGGTTTAGCCCCGCAAATTGGCTCAGTGGAATATGTTCCACCTTAAGGGGGGATGGTTTCATTATTAAACGCTGCTAATCCCTTGGGTCACTCCATTGATTAATCCTGAAAGTTTCATGATGTGTATAAGAAGAAATCGTGAAGTATTTTTATTGTTTGTGTCGGATGATCTTTTTAAGTTAAAACAAGGCCTATGATTGAAATTTGAGGGGAGATGTTGCTATACTTGTATTCTATTCCTTTTCTTTATCCCTATACATTTTTAGAGGTGTGCCCTGGGCGATAACGACGCTGGAGTTACGGAGCCCCATGTATCAATTTGCACTAGAGAATTATGGACCTTTTGTGCAAGTTAGTGTTTGTATTTCGTCTATCCATTTTTTCACCCGACTAGTCTGAAATTGCAGTAGGGGGTGCAGTGCCATGATATAAAGCCACAAAAATTTAAATAGAAATTAGCAATTTTTTTTTTTCTAATTTTAAAACTTCACGTTGTTTTTTGAATAATTAAAAATTTGTCGTGAATTTGTCCTTATGACATTTAGCCCACAATTGGAGGATAATTAAATCTCATGGTGTGCGTGGGTCATAGTAGGTATCTTACCGGTTTGATGCATGATGCCATTTTTGGTAATATTAACAAGGAGAATGAATAACTGAAAAAAAAAAAAAGTGGGGTGGTCTTGTGGGGTATTAGCTGAACTTCTTACTCTAAAATTAGATGTTTGAATTTTGGAGTCTTTATTGGGGCTCAGTGGTTGACTGTTATATTAGTCTAGTTAGGTTTATTCTCGAGACGAGTAATGAGCAAGGTCAGGGGACTCAGGATTCCACCGGTGAAGGCATACTGGGATGGTTTCTGGGTGTTCTCTTTTGCCCCCTTCCATCCTTTTTTGATTATCAAAAAAGAATAATTGGAAAAAAAAATGGGAAAACACCTTAAGTTCCCTAATAAAAAATTGCAACGCTCGGTTACCAGATGTGTTATTTGATAAATTAATTGACAAAATTTCAAAAAATGTCGCCAAATACATAGTCATAGCTCTAATTGCCTCCATAAATTTAAAGTTGATAATTTTGATCTCCAAATACAAGTAAATTCTCTCAATATCAATATTATAATAGTTATTTATTCATCTCCGATTTTCAAATATTGTAATTATAATCTTTGCTCAGAAATTCAACTGAAAATTAATTAAGTGACGAAGTATATAATATGAAAGGAAGTAATATGCTCAACGACAAAAATAGATATAATTGGATATCAAATAGCTCAAGGATCACTTAAATATCAAATATCTCAATTAGTCAACAATTTTATACAAAGTTATATTCCACATGTCACATGCCAAGCGAGACTTGAACGTAAACTTAACACCTCATCAACTATCCCACCCTAGTCGATCGCATGAATCTTTTGGACTGCAATACAATGGATTGTTGACTACCACGATCTAGTTTCCAATCCGCACGAAACATGATCAACATACTTATCATACTCACAAATTGGAATTAAGAAATCATGACAGATCAATCAGAGAGAATACAAATCAAAAACTAATAAAGAATTACTCTTTGTAAAGAGATATAAGAAAGTGTATATTGTATATTACCCCATATCTCAAATTAACAATTGCTTCTACAAGATAAATACCTCAAGTCACCCAAAACATCATGGTGATTAATCATTTGATTCTTGCATGATTCTCACAGCCCTCTCCATACTTTTTATATCACCATATCTCCAAAATCCACTTTCTTGTGTTTTCCTATAGTTTTTGTTAGGAAAATATTTGTAATTGGCTAATTTCATAAAGTGTTGATGTAAATCTCAACCTAATTCCATGGTCATGATGTTTCAAAAATCAAGATATGTAAGCATCAAATAAGGGAGGAGTTCAAGCTACAAAATCTTATCAAGAGTTCTTCGATGCACCTTCAAGTTTAGGACAAAGGTAATATGACTTAAAGGCCAAAAACCCCTTGATTTAATTTTAGACTCAAGATGATTAGAATTATAAAATGGAATTGGAAAATCTGTGAATGACTTTTAGGTTTTTCAATGAAAAGTTTTTCTAAACCCTAAATGAGTTTTGAAAACATAGAATGAGCCATGTATTGGATTCTACTTGAACAACACCCTTTGTGCTAAAAAGGACTAGTTTTTCCTTGATTTTCTCTTTAAAATCAGTAGGGACCGCCTTTTGCATGCTTGCTTTCAGCTAGAATGGTCTCTGAATGCTTAGGGATAAAATCGGAGGAGGCTGATGAGTTGGGCAGTAGAGATCGCCCTTTGGCCGCTCTTAGGCTACTCGAGCGATCTGCAAATAACTCAATGGTATCTACTCCACTGTTATGGTTTGAATTCTTTTTTCATTCTAGCACCAACCACCCTCTTGCTCGAGTTGCTATTCACAAATTGTAGTTTACTTGGACTCCAAGGTTAACCTAATTTTGGGCCTATAAATAGGGTAAGCTTCTTGTAAGTATATTTTTAGCAGTCCAACATCTAGAGAGCTAGAAAACAACTCTAGATCCCAAAGACCAAAGGCCACCAATCTTGATTCTTCTATTCAGTCTCACACCTTAGAGAAGAAGAGATCTTACTTAATGTTTACAAAACCCATCGAATGAGTGTGCATCCTAAGGATCTTAGCAGAGAAGATCGCTCAAAGAGTCTAACGATCCCTTACGGTGCTGGCATTCAAATAAAGCTACTCAAGACTTTGGTGGGTGGAATCTAGATGAGAAATTTATTAAAGGAAATGAACATTTAACTTGGGTATTGGTTGAAGTATAAGTCTCAAGTACTTGTAAATTGACTTTAAGTTAGTGGATTAGGCTACGTGAACCTCGAGTGGATCTGCATTTTTTCCCGGTTGGAATTTCGTGTAAACAAATTGCTCGTGCTATTTATTACTTCAATTTTTTCATATACACTTGCAATTGCACATACGTGCACGATTTAGGAAAATGAGTTCTTTTGTCGGTGCCGATGAGAATAGCAATGATGATCACACCCCTTTATGGAAGTATATTACAAAAGTAGATAAAATTGGAGGAGGGGGAGGAAATATTCAATTTCAATGTAACTTTTGTCAATTAAGTTTTAAAGGATCATATTATAGGGTTAAGGCACATTTGTTAAAAATCCTTGGTCATGGATTTCAAGTATGTTGCAAAGTTACTCAGCATTAATTAATTGACATGCAAAGGGTAGTTTTTTTTTGTTTTTTTTTCTTGTACACTAGAAAAATAAAAGACCTAATCTAAATAGAGTGCCTAGAGTAAAACACACTAGCCATATCAGCCATAAGAATACTACCCATATGGGGTGAAGGATCCTAAAGCTCCACAAAAGCATCCGTCTGTTGAACCCCAAGATTGACCAAAAAATCAGCACAGTGGTTTCCTTCTCTAAGGGTATGGAGAATGAGAATATTATTAGTTCCCATCATATTTTTGCAGCTCCTGAAGATGGCTCTGCTTGGGTGGACCTCATCAGGATCAGACGACAACAGCTTAACTGCCTCCAACGAGTTAGTTTCCACAACAACCTGGGTGATCTGAAGCCTTAGCAAAAATTCCAGTCCTTTACCACTATCTTCAGGGTAGTTGACCAAGCTGAGATGAGGGTGAAAAGATTTTTTCCCAAACAAGTCCCTTTACCACTATCTTCAGCATCAAGCAAAAGTTGCTTCGTCGAGTGCAAGTGTTAGTAGTGCTATGGAATTTGGGTCATTAATGCATGGGGGTGGTTTAGATCCAAAAAAAAAAGGAAGGCTACTTCTGCTTTTGAGAAAGCCTTTAAAGTTGGAGCTCGAGAAAAGCTACATAGTGAGATTGTAAGTATGTTTTACTCAACTAGTTTACCATTCCGCCTTGCCTAAAATCCACATTATTGTTGCTCCTATACTTTTGCAGCTACTCATATGATTAGTGATTATATCCCTCCTAGTTATAATATGTTGAGGACTCTTCAAAAAGGGAGATCAAACTATGAAAGGTTGTTAGAGCCAACTGAGCAATTGTGGAAAGAAAAAGGTGTAAGTATTGTGTCAAATGGTTGGGCGAATGCTCAAAAGAGGCCAATCATAAATTTCATGACTGTGTGTGAAAGTGGGCCCATGTTCTTGAAAGCAATTA